AATGAAGGCCAGAGGGCAGATCTACTGATATCTACTAGGGGGATATCGGCGCCTCGCTTGGCAATGCCGACGTGACGCGATAAAACAAACGCCGGCATACAAGCGCGCTGGCTCACGTCGAAGTGTATTGGCACCCAGAGCGTGGCGTGTATAAATGTTTTAGATGCCGCACCGCTTCTCGAACATTCGACAGCTGACGCGCGCGCATGCGCCGTCGCGCCGTCGCCCACTCTTCCACCATCTGTGCATCCCTTCCTCCTCTACACACCGCACGCGCTTCACTCCTCCACCATCTGTGCACCCTTCCTCCTCTACACACCGCGTTCGACATCTACAATTCTCCTGATTCTCCAGTGGACGCGCATGTGGCGTCGCACTTCGAGAACATTCAACAGCTGACAGTGCATGCGCCGTCGAGCTGTATATATACTCAAGGTCGGCGCTCGCTCGCTCAGTTGCCGCTCATCGGTTGGTTTGTACGGCGCGTTGACGTCCAAGGTCGCGGTGAAATGAATTCCAACGAATCCACAAACACAATGATCGACGTCCCTTCGACCAGCGCCGCCCTTTCGCATACGTGTGTACGTGTTCACTCATTTAACACCCCCTCCTACAACCACGTTAACCAATTTAGCCATCGACCCAAGTAAGTCGCAATTTAACACCCCATTTCACAACCACGTTAACCAATTTAGCCATCGACCCAAGTAAGTCGCACTTTAACACCCCGTTAACCAATTATATGGTCCGCATCCTCCTCAGTGTTCCCCCGAGGGAAGCGGCGGGAAATTTTTTTTCATCACATGCATCCCATGATTATCATGTTTGCACCAATCACATACCTTCGTCATACATTCACGTGACGTAATACCAAATTTTCGCACATGTCAAGGTAGCGAAACGGCCGCGAGCACCTCATGAGTGTGGTACGTAGTCATGTTGTTACATAACACGCATGTCATAATCATCATGCTTGGCCGTTTCATTCACCTATGTCGTCTGTTCGCGTCACGTAATATCGAATTTGGTGCATGTGAAGCTAGCGATACCGGCCCGAGCACATCATGAACGTAGTATGCAGTCATGTTTTTACACGACATGCATCTCATGATTATCATGTTTGCACCAGTCACATACCTTCGTCATTCATTCACGTCCCGTAATACCAAATTCGTTATATGCAAAGCTAGCGAAATGGCCGTGAGCACATCATGAGTGTGGTATGAAGTCATCTTGTTACATTACATGTATATCATCATTTTAATGTTAGGGTCTTTCGCTTGTGTTCGCCTTGCAGTCATGTCATACCATACCAGTTTTGCAACATGTGTGAATAAATCCTCTGCAGAAGCAGCAAGACCATGCATGACATGGAAATCATGACATTTATGACATACATGTCATCATTTTCATGTTATGACTAGTCAGTTATGTTCGTCATATAGTCATGTTATATCATATCAGGTTGTTATGGATACCATTATCCAAATGGCCAGGAGAGCTGAAGGTCATAGGCGGATAGATAGATAGATAGATAGATAGATAGATAGATAGATAGATAGATAGATAGATAGATAGATAGATAGATAGATAGATAGATAGATAGATAGATAGATAGATAGATAGATAGATAGATAGATACGCCCAAAGCCACCGAAGTTCAACAGGAAATGCTTTGCCTTTAAAACTTTTGTGGCAAAACGTTTCTCATCGGACACCCAACAACTTCCATGGTACTAAAATTTGGTATAGGGCCTGGGGAGTGGCCCTTTAAACCTTCTGAGTTGCCCAGTTTGCCATGTAGCCGAAGTAAATGCCACTTACGGAATTCGTAACGTCATCTGCAGTTGCACATGCGACTTCAGTGTCTTGTTGCACTGCCCTCGCGCTTCCACAAATAATGGAAAAAAAAATGTACCAAAAGGACCGAGATGTTTTTCGCGCTCACTTTGTACAGTTAGTTTTCAGGGACGCGGTACGATTGCTTCACTGCAATAACGGTTGTCCGTTTTCTATCTGCGTAAAAAGATACCGCATTTTAGGTGTCAGAGCAGGTGTCAGAACGTCAGCATTTTAGATGTCAGAACGTACGGTCACTCTGTAAGAGTAAAATTTGATGGACCAACAAAATGACGAAATAAATAAAGTAAAATAATTGATTATTTACTTACACACACGCGCGCATACAAAGACACATTATCTAGAACTTGCAGAGAAACTGTTCCAACTCAGTTGCAAAGTTTCTACAGCTTTATTTCTACTCTTCCGAATATCTGTCTTCATAGACACGTAGGTTCTGAGGAGAGAGTATGCTCCTGCCACAAGTATGTTATTCAGCAAAATATGAGGGTGATGAACATTGCAAGAGAGAACAGAGTCTTTCGTTTCATAATAATCTCGAGTGACGGACACAAGAAGTGGCGTTACCTCCTTCGCTCTGGCCCATTTCGCACTGGTGTGTAGTCGCTCATATCGCTTATGGCCTGGGAAAAGTGTTAGTACTGGGTCTAGATTAAATGTTACCAACTGCCGGTTCTCAGACTGGTAGACTTTGTAGTTGTTGCTAAATATTCCAGCTTGAAATAAAGTGCAGCTCAAACACCAAACGATAATTCAAGAAAGTGCTTTACCGTAAGTGTCTATACATAAATAGACTTAAAAAAAAAACGTATTAAGCTAAGATGCTGGCCAGATTGGCGAACCATTTCAATACGGAAACACAATCGTTGAAACACCGGCCAGAAAATTGTATGCATGAAACCGATGAACTAAGCAATGCGACAGCATTCCTGCCATTTTTCTCAACCAAGTAAACACAGGCATATTACAAGTAGTCTGCCACCCTAATTGCCAACTGCAAAATGTTTGCGAACCCCGCAAAAAAAGAACCTGTTTTGAAAACGTACTGCCACGTGTGTTCATTATTTCAGTGCCAGGCTTTACACTAACAAGTGAGAAGTGCACTTGATGACTTTATTTTAGAGGCAGATTGAAGAGTGGTAGAGATGGTGTCTTTGCAACGACTTCGAAATGTATAGTACAGTAACGTGCCTTCGGGTCACAAAGAAAACGAAGGTCAACGTCAACTTGACGGACGACACGCTCCCATTTCAATCTTTGGTTCTCCTCGCAAGGTCAGTTCATTCCACGCCCCGCCGCGGTGGTCTAGTGTCTTAGGTACTCGGCTAATGACCCGCAGGTTGCAGGATCAAATCCCAGCTGCAGCGGCTGCATTATCGATAGAGGTGAAAATGCTGTAGGCCCATATGCTCGGATTTGGGCGCACGTTAATAAACCTCAGGTTGTCGAAATTCGCGGAGCATTTCACTTCGGCGTCTCTCATATTCATATCACAGTTTGGGACGTTCAAACCTACAAATCAAATCATAAGTCCATGTCAAGTTAAGTCAAAACAGACATTCGCAAGTTCAGTCCGTTTGCCGTACCGATTCGCCACGCAGCATGATCCAACCGTTCAGATTTGTAGCCGTATAGATTGTGAATATCCAGTGCACAAAGGCGCACGTTAAACAACCCCAGGTGGTCGAAATTTCCGAAGCCCAATACTACGGCGTCTCTCATAATCACATGGTGGTTTTGGGAAGTTAAACCCCACATATCAATCAATCATTAATCCAGTGCACAAAGCGCTTCACACATATCCACGCTGCAATTCACGGGCCCAGAAACACACAGTCTTTCGAATCGCAAATCAGCACACCAGTGCTCCACAAAAATGTTCTTTGGGCTTGCAAATCCATGCCCGATGTCGAGAGGCGAGAGCAAGTGTAGCGCTGTTTGTGCAGCTAAATACACCAGTCTAAATGAGTGACGTCAGAGCCAGTGGCGGTACAAGTTAGCAGGCTTGAAATTATCTAGGTGACATTGTTTAGCAGCTGAGTACCTTCGTCACTAGACCAGAGCGGCGGATAAAACTTTAGTTTGAACTCCCGTTATAGAACGAAAAGGCTTGCTAAAAACTGAAACGGAAGGCAACGACAGAAGATTGTAGGCAATAGTGTAAAGGTTAGTGGTGCGACATGGTAGTACGATCAGACAAAATATGGCAGCATCTTTCTTTGTGATCACAGCAAGTTGCGCATATATATACTATTTCCTTGGACCCTAAAGAACGAAGGATCGTGTATTTATGCTGCGTATTGCTTTCGAAAAAACATTGACTTATGACGAAACACCTCAAGCCAGCTTCTGTTATAGTGAATGTGACAACGACAAGGGTTTTTCATGTGAAATATATGTTGAATTTTTATTCTACTGGTTCACATAGCCATTTTTTATGAGGAATGAAATGACAACTGCTGGAATTCGCTGTATGCATAAATACAGTGACACTGGACATTTCAAGCATGAAGTGACTGAATAAAGCTAGATATCTATTTAAGGGTACTAATTACACCCTTTAGAAAGTCACATCTTCCAAAAAAATATTCTTTTTTAGTTTAGCGGAACACATAAAACATCATCCTTTCATGTGACTTTGATATTTAGGAAACCTGGATCAACCATAAAAACTCGTCCTCGTGGGTTATTACCCGAAACTACATATTTCTCATTGTGCACTGCCCCATTATGTTCACCACCGGTTGGTAACAATAATTGCGCAGGCTACGTGAAACGCAACGCGTCTACAAGTAGTGAACTTTTAGTTGACACTTTGAATTATTTTGGTACCAGAGGGTCGAGAGATAGGATTTGGTGCGAGTAAAAATATACGCCAGCACCTAGTTTTACAAAGCCTTCTAATTGACCAACATTTGGTTGAATAGTGTGAAGGCCTGCGTTGCGTGTCGGAAGTCAAGAAATACGAAGTTTCCAAACATAGCCTAATGAATCTTCTCCTTTGGGGCTCATCACTGAAGTCGTTGCATTGCTTTTTCTTTTTTGCTAGTTCGATAAATCTTTATGCACTATGATTTATGCGAGTGCGCTGAAATAGCTATTCATCGCAAACCTTGTCGCTGTTATTCCGACTAACGCAGGAATTCAATATGGAGCTAAAGAATGACTCCAAGCAGCCTCTTCTGCTCTCAGTTGCTTTGCCAGCCAAAGCTTGGCTCCTAGGGGAAATATATCGTGTCCAACCTATCAAGCGGTGAGTAGAAAGAAAAATGCATGGGGCTTTTACCCTGAAGAGGAGCTTACTAAATGTGAAGCGAATATATTAGAAGCGTTACGCTTGTGAACCAGTACAGTAACACAGATAACTTTTGCTGGAGTTTTGCATGACTGTTTTACGGCCACTTTCTAATGAGTTTACGCATTGTTTCTGTAGCGGAAACCTCATGGTGCGTGTAGCACTTCAGTGTGTTCTTCACTACTTCGTGAAATGCTAATTTAAGACGTAGGGGCTACCTCGCAACTGTAATCGTGGTAGGCGCCCTATCAGAGTTTGCAAAAGTTTCTATCAGGCTGTGTGTGTTCCATGGAGGGCAGACCTCACGGAATTCTAGGCAATTGTCTCAACGTGGCAGTCGCACGCCGGGCCCATACGCGCGCTTTGCAAGATCTCAATAAGTTGGCGCACCAGTTCACCCTCTGCTGTAACGCAAATAGTCTTCGTGTGTTGACATTAGGCTTGTTTTTCGCATCGACGTTAGAGTGTCAGACATAAATAATTATTTACCTGCGTAATTTGTGTCGCGCCTTCAAGTCCTCCAAGTAATTCTCCTAGTTACCAAAACACCGAGAAGGCTAAACGAATTTCGTTTGCTTAACTGTCTAGCTCTTGCTCGTAAGATCGATCATGTAGCTTTAATTCATCACTCGTTATTTGACTGCACGTGTCCTCTAAGTTCGTGTCGTTTTGCACAGGTGGGCCGATTTCGTGAACCTTATGACGTATGAATTCAACACATATCACTGGCTGAAGCCCTGGGTGAATCACAATAGTCCACTATTTTCTAGGTCTCCCGCACTTCCGTATTTTCGCAGGCTAAACGTGGTAGGTGCATTTGTTCTGCTAAGATGTTTTGAAAGGAGCGAGTTTTTCAATTCAGAAACAAGTTTTCATGTAGATGAGAAAGTTTACACCTCACTACGACAAGGAATATGTTTTGGGCGTTTTAACCGAATATACTGTTTACGCGTTAGGCGCACGTGAGATAGGTTACACTGGCATATCAACTATGGTATCACATGCAGCACGTCATTCGTATTCATACGTGTGGATGTGAAACGAACGACGTCATACTGGCTATGCTGAACAGTGTCGAGAAAAAGTAAGGCTCGCAACTTGCAGCTGGTGATAAGTCAACCGTAGAACATTGCAACATTGTGACTACACACAGTGAGAATATATATAGAATATATAGAATATATATAGAATATATATATAGAAAATATATATGTGACGCTATGATGAATGGGCGACGAAGCCTGGCTCATACGCCATGTTTATTCCATTCTGACTTCTTCCTCCTATACTTCTCCTAACCATCCCTGCCTTCTTACGTCACAGGATTCGCCCTCCCCCCGAAAGAAGTCGCGTCAGACGAACAGAAACGAAAATTGAACATGCATGGCTTAGAAGTGAACACAGTCGAAAAAGAGAAGATCGTTCCATGTCCCAGAAAGTTTCCGTTAACACACTTTAGCTTCACAGGAGAGTGCACCAGTCCGGTAAGTGCTGAAATTCTGGTGGACGAGGTTGACTGTTGCGTACTGGAAAACACAAGTACACCTTGAACGTGTAAACTGCAGATAACGAAAGTGCTTGTATACTTGCAAAGAGTGAACGTGGTGTGAAGGCTTTGGTGCACCAGCAACATAATTTGCGTAGGCGTCGTGTTCTTTGCCTTGATTGGTACACATGCAGCGCCACCAGTCTGCGTGTTTGTTGTCCAAGACTGATGAGCTGATTTCTGCGTCCTTCCGGAATACAGGGTGTGCTTTTGCGCCTTCTTCGTCGTTTTGTGTCCTGTTGTCTCAACAGCTTTGATTGTAGACTTGGTCTTGATCTCTCCTGGAGAAAACTTGTGCGATGTTCCTTTTTGCGAAAACACTTGAATCAGAAGACTTGTTTGTCTGAAGCAAGACATATTGAATTTGTGTTCGCTTCACATGACTAGCTTGTAGACGCCTTCGTTTAACCCTTGAGTGATCATCCGCTGATGTTTGTGTTCGTCGTTGTCCTTGTTCGTATAGCCCTTGGAATCTCTGTTGTTCTTGGATTTGCTGGCATTGATGATGTTGCTGCGAAAAGAGCTGAGGTGGCAGCCCTTTTTGACCATGGCACTGACTTTCCAGGCAACTGAATGTGGTGTCGGGCGGGCAGGTAGTAGTCTCTAGGCTGTTGTGCTGCATTTCGGGTAATGAAGATAATGCTTCAGAGTTGATAGATACATCATCAGGGGCTTCTTCTTCGCTGTACACTTCGAGTGGTTCTTGCGCCTGAATGTGGATGGTAGGTTCAGGACTTGGCTGAGTATTCTCCAAGCTCCGCAGCTCTATCCCGACCGTTGTGAGCGTGCTAGATGTGAGGTGGGCGTTGTGAGCGACGAAAGAGCCAAGTGACGGAAAACCAGGAGGTAGCACAATTGTGCTAGATGGAAAGTAAGCTGATCCAAAGTGTGAAGACTGATTTTCCCTCTTCGAGTCGTCATGGGGTTGTTCGGCATTTTCCCTTTGTGTCAGCTGGTTTACCATGAATAAGGCGTCCTTATGACACGAATAGTGACCGTTAGGAGCCTTTGAAGAGCTGCGTCGTAGAAAACCAGGTGGCGGACCATGTATGCGAGACGAAGCATGCAAGGCATCAGTAGGGTGAGCGACGTCTCGTGTCGTATGTTGGTGCCACGACTTTGGAAATGCCGACTTTCGTGTAGAGAAACCTGGTGGAACGCCACGTTTTTTGAGAAATAAGCGTGGATTATGACGGCCGAATGTGGTTGTATGCAGATGGTCGGTAATGAGGAAGTCATTGTCGTAGTCGTTAAAACGGGCAATCATCTCTTCTCTGTTCTTTTGCCATGATTCATCGTTTTCGAATATGTGTGTCAGGTAAAACTTGAATGCCTCACCGGAGATGTAGTCAGTGAAGTTGGTGATCATTTCCCGTTCCGACCATGATGCAGCGGTTGCGTGGTGCTCGAACAGGTCGAACCAGTCCTGTACAGGTCCATCGTCCGCTGCTCCGGTGTACTTGGGGATGGGAAGGTCGTCTGATGGTGCTGTCATAATGCTGGTCTTGGTGTAGTGTTGACATGTACTTTCGTGGTCTACGTTCGGTTACTGCGTCTTGCTGAGACGTTCGGAGATGGTTTTTGGTTGATGAAGTGGCCGCCAGGTCTTCATCCTGTCGACTCGTGTGACGTTATGATGAATGGGCGACGAAGCCTGGCTCATACGCCATGTTTATTCCATTCTGACTTCTTGCTTCTATGCTTCTACAAACCATCCCTGCCTTCTTACGTCACACACACACATATATATGTATGTATATATATATATATATATATATATATATATATATATATATATATATATATATATATATATATATATATATATATATATATATAGAATATATAGACCAGTTCAGTAGATCCTCCGTGAGCGGTCACAACGTGGTTTATTTCGACGTTTCGGCCTAGAGTCTGGCCTTCACTAGGATTAAAGATACAGTTTGTTGGTGCTCAGCTTTATACAATCTCAAATCAGAGGGCAAGGAAAGAGAAAAAAAGACAGAAAAAAAGAAAAAAAGAATATATAAAATATATAGAATAAACTCTAACGTTTACCTAACTAAGAAGTTACAATAGTGTTTTGGGGATAAAGGCTTGAACAAAAGTTTCTGTGCTTACAAAGACGTAATATAGTGAATTTGGCAAAATGTGTCACGAAAAAAATAACTTGTTTCGAGTTGAACTTTGTAGTAATATTTTGTTTTAATGCGCCACCCTGCGCAGTAAGTGCTGAAAATCGCTCATGAAGAAATGTCTAATAATGTATCTGTTAGTCGTTTTAAGACTAACATTAAGTTGTTTTTCACCACTAGTAACTATAGTAATGCAAAAACATGTGTAACTTTTTTTTAAGATATGTGGACCCCACACACTTACACAGACTAAAATAATTACTCAGTTCACTTCTAAAGCTTTCAAATTAAGGTCCTAACAGCTTTCTCTTAGATATTCTACGCTTCAATGTTTATTATATAGCTTCTTTAAAGTTGTACCATATACTCTTGGCAATAATGACACAACAGCTTCAGTGGTAGCTCGAAAATAAAACAACACAATACTGCCACATCGAGAGCAATGTAACACAGGTCTGCCAAACGCTAGCTCTGTCCCACCGTGTTGTGGCCTAACAATCAGTAGCCAATATAGAGGGCACATTGAGGCACTCCAAACGGTGCAATGTCTGTAAGCCACAACTTGCACTGTTACAACTACTGCAACCACTACTACTACAACTACTACTACTACAACTACTGCTGCTACTACTACCAGTAATAATAATAATAATAATAATAATAATAATAATAATAATAATAATAATAATAATAATAATAATAATAATATAATAACTATTGGCCCATATCTGCATGTTTCGCAGCAAATGCCATCGAAAGATGATAGTCTTGCGTCTGGAGAGAGCGAACAAAACATTTACTTGATGTTCTGCGCGAGAAAATTGGTGAACTGTATACTGAAGGCGCTGCGTTATACTGTCTCGATCCGTGCAGCGAAGGCAAACGAGCGCATCGAGGCTCGTTAGACACGAGCGCTATTTGGTAGCTATCTTCGAAAACGAAGGAAGGCGTGCGGGCGTGTCTTGGAGGCGACAAGTTGTAGAAGGCAAAGGGATGGGCAAATGCCACCACCATGTCATCCTAGCAAAGCATCGGGAACACTTGCGTTTTCGAGCATCGCGTTGCATTGTCAGCGCAGCATGATAAACGCTACTGTCTTTAGAATTACTTGTGTAAGCCTTATGTATGTATAAAAACAGACATACAAACTATCTACTTTTTCCTATGGTGCTTCAGATATGCGCAATATTTGCTTTTAAAGACGATAGTCTTTCTTGGGATACTTCAACGCAAAAAACGTTGGTCTGTATAGCTGTCTGTGCTTTTGTCTGTTTGTCTGCCGTAACGATGCCCCAAACGGCACAAGGCGATACGCCAAACGGCCAACCACATCTGCAGTGCCCAACAGTATTGCTCAAGTTTCAGCGTCTTTACTTGTGCAATTGTAAATTAAAAGGGAATTATTGCGCATATCTGAGGCACCATAACAACACGTCAACGTATTGTATGTTTGGCTTTATACTAGAGAAGGCACACATAAGTAATTCTGACGACCATAGCGTTAATCATGCTGCGCTGACAGTGTTTCCAATGTTTTTGTAAGAAGACCAAATGGCAGCACCTGCCCGTCGCTTTGTGTTATACACCTTATCGCCTCCGAGACAAGCGCACGTGTTTCTCCGTGAGCGCGCATGCCTTCTTTCGTTTTTGAAGATAACTGCCAGATAGAGCTTGTGTCTAACGTGCCTCGATGCGCTCGTTGGCCTTCGCTGCGTGGATCTAGCCTCTGTACTGTAGCGCTTCCACATTGCAATTCACTGATTTTCTCGTGCAGAACATCAAATAACATTTTTGTTCACTCTCTCCACACGCAAGGCTATCGTCTTTCGACAAAATTTGCAGTGAAACATGCAGATACGGGACCAATTTTTTAATTGTCAGACGCACAAGGATGAACGCTGAAACTGGGGAAATATTGGGGGGCGCAGCGGATAGGATTGGCAGTTTAGGGTATCATTTCGGTCTGTTTGGGGTATTGTTACGGTGGGCAAACAGCCAAACGTACTGACAGAGAGACTAATCTTTTTGCCTCGAATTAGCCCCCAAAAATGCTGTCGTCTTTAATATTAATATAATAGTAGTAATAATAATAATAAAAATTGACCGATCCCACATACAGTGAGAAGCCATGATAAGCGAAGCACGAATGAGGAAGGTTGATCGGTAACTTGAAAATAAACACAACGTTACGAGGCAGACGTAAATTATGCCATACATGACTTCTTTGTCCTGATTACCAAGTTTGGAAGTAACATTCAGTGTGTATACACATTACGGACCGAATCCGTCGCTTCCGTGGCGCACGGCGTATCACGTGTCCACACGTCGCGAATTTCTGGCATCCATTCCGGGCCCGTGGTAGTCGCGGACGGGAAATTTCAAGCTCTTTTTTGCAAGCGAATTCGCACGGAATAACTCAACCAATTTAGCTGATAGCGCAATTACAAGTCTGGCAGAAAGCGCCGATTTTTCTTTTTCTTGTTTGGGTTCATGAGTTTGGCCGTCGAAGTTATAAGGGTCTGGCAACAGGCACATTTTCTTTTGCAGCTAATCTTCGCTTTCTTTTGATCTCCGTATTCACTTCAACTTCAAACTCTTCGCCGTAGACAGAAACATAAACGTACAATACTATTGCTGGCGCTGAATGGACTCTCGACTTTCAGATTGGTCGCGCCATCTAGACAAACCACGAATAAGCACACATTCACATATTATTATGAAATCCGACAGTCGGTAGCCTTCGCACCGTAGAGTTGTTGGCTTGCGCTAACGCACATCAAGCTCATGTTCTGCAAACAGCGGCAGTCGATAAGCCTACAGTTCTCAACAAACGAGTACGGCGCTCGGAAACAGTACCAAATTGTCATGTATACGTTGCCGCCGAAGCTCAGGGACACAAACCTAAAGCCGAGACAACCATCAGTTGGAGAATAGCAGCGCAAGCAATGCACGACGAAGAGTTAAAGATTCGAAGCGGGCAGCTCTCGCTTCGGACAGTGCTGACATTTCGCTTCGGACAGTGCCGTGTGGATGTGCTTCACAGCGGGACGGGCGGCGCAACGATTCGCGCGGATATGTACGTCATGTGGATACACACTTACCTTCGTTGTCTGTTCTCGTCACGTGATACCTAATTTGGTATATGAGAAGCTAGCGAAACGGTCGGCAGCGAACCATAGGCGGCGCATGTAGTCATGTTGTTTCGTGACACGCATCTGATTACTATGATTACTATGATTACTATGATTACTATGTTTGCACGAGTCACATGCCTTCGTCATCCATTCACGTCCCGTAATAGCAAACTTTTTGTATGAGAAGCTAGCGAAGCGACTATGAGCGCACCTTGAGCGTGGCGTGTAGTCATGACTCATAACTTACTTGACATGCATGTCATGATCTTCACGTTAGGATCTGTCATTTGTGTTCCCCAGGCAGTCCTGTCATATCATACCAGTTTTGCAACATGTCATGTGAACGAAACCACTGTAAGACCACAAGACCATGAAGTGTAAATCATTACATACACGTCATGTCATGATAGTCATGTTATGACTAGTCACTTATGCTCATCATAGTCATGTTATGCCTTACCAAATTTTGTATCGATAACATTAACGAAACGGGCAGGAGAGCTGAAAGTCATAGGCGGCTAAATAGATAGATAGATAGATAGATAGATAGATAGATAGATAGATAGATAGATAGATAGATAGATAGATAGATAGATAGATAGATAGATAGATACGCTCAAAGTCGCTGATGTACGCTAATAAATGCTTCGCACATATTATTCAAATGAAGTGCCTGACGAAGGAGAAAAAATAGGGGACGGAGAAGAGAATTCCCAAAGCTTGTAACGTGCCTCCAGGTCATGAAACTGTGACATAGCAGGATTTTAAAGACTGATATCGTAACGTCTGGGTCGTTTCTAGGCCTTAGCTAGGTGGTGCAGGTTGTTTCTAGTCTGCTGCTAGATTTCTAGGTGATGCAACTTTGTTTCCGCGTCGATCATTACCGCTGAGTTGATCTAATTGAATCACTGGCATTTGCAGACACGACACGGATGTCCAAACATCAAAGAAATAAATAAATGGCATCGTATCTTAATGTTTCACTGCACATGTCGTTGAAAGACGATATTCTTGCCTGTGAAGAGAGTGAAACAAACGTTTATTTGATGTTCTGTGCGAGGAAATCAGTGAATTGTATTCTGGAAGTGCTGCGTTAGACAGTCTCGATCCGTGCAGCGAAGGCCAACGAGCGCATCGTGGCACGTTAGGCACCAGCGCTATCTGGCAGTTATCTTCGAAAACGAAGGAAGACGTGCGTGCCCACGGAAAAAGATGCACGCCTGTCTCGGAGGAGATAAAGGTGTAAAGCACAAAGGGACGGACAAGTGCCACCACGGAGTCGTCTTAGAAAAACGTTCGAAACACTTGCCTTTTTGAGCACAGCGTTGCACTGCCAGCGCAGCGTGAATAACACTACGTGGTCCACAGGATTACTCATGTGTGTCTTCTTTAGTGTAAAGCCAAACGTACAATATATTGACGTATTGTTATGGTGCCTCAGATACGCACAATAATTGCTTTTCAATTGACGATCGCACGAGTAGGAACGCCTAAACTTGAGCAATATTTGTGGGCGCCGCGGATGGGGTTGGTCGTTTGAGGCATCGTTACGATGGACAAACAGACAGATATACAGACAGACAGACAAACATTTTTGCGTCGAAGTGCCTCAAGAATGACTATTGTCTTTAATAAAATAGAGCTGAAACCTAGCGCTGCCAGCTGTCATGGAACTGCTGTCACGTCGGCGTCAGCGTAGGCCACTTTGGGGTGTTCTCGCAGTCGCCGTTGTCATTCATGTTCCCAAGCTTGACCTCGTTGTACGTACTTGGGGTCTTCTGCACGCTGTGGCCGCTTGGCAATCAGCTGTCATACCTTCTCTGTGTTTAGTGAACTTGTAGTGAGCTGACTGATTTACCTGATTTGCGTGGCGTGTGCCCGTAATACTGGTAAAAAATAATTTTGCGCTCATTTCTTGATAGGGATCCTTGCAGTCTTCTAGTTGTTTTTTTATTTTTGCACCACACTTTCATATTTAGTATAGGAATGATAGTTTTCTGGTTTGTTGATGAACAAAAAGCGATTTGCTAAACCGATTCACTCTTAGTACTAGTTTTATTTCAGTCAATTTTCTGTGCTAACACTATGACATGATTATGCCACACGTTTATGGAAAGAAATAAAAAAGTTTGGGCTGGACGTTTGCGACACATCAGTTTTGTTAGAGCGGTTCTTCATCAATTTTCACCACCTATGTTTGTTTGGCATGCCCCCAAATCTGGGTAAGCGAGTTTTTGTATTTCGCCTAAATTTAAATACAAGCACCGCAGCTCGGAGATCAAGCCGGTGTCTTTCAGGTGAGCAGCCAATTGGCATAACCATGTCAGCTTTATGTATAAGACATGGCTGAGGATTTTTTTTTTTGCTTACGCGAAGAGGCTGGGAAATGTTGAAGGCTGCTGTGCTGCTTTCAGTGTGTGTCGAGTGTAATGTATACAGTTGTGAACTATGACGGAAAGGACATAAGGTGATACACTCTAAAAAAAACAAAGCACTTCGACTTTTTCAGGTAGTTCTCACAGGCCAAGTATATGACTCTGTTAAAAAAGGCACGTTCTCTCACTTGTGGATGAATCGACTCTGCCAAGATAGCATAATGAGTCTCAAAGAGAGCCACCTTGCCTCTACTAAGAGAGTCAGATACGTGGTACGTCAGGAATACACGAAAAATATCAAAAGACTCTCTTCTTTAGAGTGTACTATAGAGCTCTCTTGTGACCTGTCTGTTCCAGGCTGTCTAAGGTGAATTTGTTACATATAGACTCTTCGAAATCGTGAATATGTAAAGATGTTTCACTGGACGCAAATCAGATTAAGGTAGAAGCTCATAACTTCTATGGTGAAAAAACTTGGAAAGCATGCCGGCTTGCCTTTAACGTTTGTGTTGAATCACTAGCTTTTTAATGAAAGTGTTCTAATTTACGTAAACCTCACTACAACTGCATACAGGACTGCATGTGCACACACATCAGTAACGAGAGAAAATGCTGGATTCTTTAGCAACGTGATTGCACAGTTGCTCTTAGAACTGTTTCTAAGCTATTACAGGAGTCAAAATGATCTCAACCACAATATTTTATTGCATTATTTTTTATTCCTGTTCAGGCATTCAGCGCACAACTTTGGGTAAAAATGGGTATGCCGAAGTCCAAGATCATGGTGGGTATCCCGACTTTCGGTCTTTCATGGGTGCTTCGTGACTCCCATTCCTGGCACATTGGGTCTCGCGCCACAGGACGAGACCCTCACAACGATGGTTACGTCAGTTTCGCGGATGTAAGTATATTATGAGGCTTATTCAATGTGTGAAGGCCTATGCAATATGAACGTAAGGGATGTTGAGTGTATATACGAAATACATTTCGGAATATTCAAGGATATCAAGCTCATATTTTAAAAAAAGTGAATTCCTTTAGTTGATGTTTGTGACATCAAGAAAAATAATAAAACAGCAATGAAAGTACAAGTGCAACTGGCCTTGTGGGGCAACTGACAATAAAAATAGGCTTGAACCTGGCATACGGTAGCAGGTAGACTTTGCTCAAGATAAAGGAAGCATATTTCAAGGGTGCTAGGCCTTTCACACTATAATAGATCAGAATAAGTGAATAACGAATAGGCGATTTCACTGGTGCAAGAAGTTTAGAGCAGTATTTTAACGGCAATATGACGCTTTTTTCAGGTGTAGAGATACACATATTCTAAATCATGGACAGAGCTCTCCTTGACATTACGCTGAAAGTCTTATGAAGAACGAAGTGTCCTAAAAGTCATTAGGAAGAGCAGCTCACTAAAAGAAAGAATCAACGCCGAATTTTCCTAATAGCTTCACCCTCGGATCAAAGACTTTAGCAATAAAGTGGAGATTTCATAAAGTAGTACGTGGAAAGCTTGATACGTAACTTGTTTTGCATCCGTAGCACATGTACGCGCTTTGTGGAGCCATCACTTGACGGCAATACACAGAACTGATGACAAAGGGGTGCATGTGAGATTTTACTGTCTAATTGGTGTTCTAGCGGCTCTGCTTGTGTCATTAACAGATGGGAAATAGGTGAGCAGACACATAATAGTGATTAGCCTTGCAGCTTTAATTTCACATCAATAACAAAAGTTTGAGGATTCATACGGAAACAAATCAATTACCTTAAACACAAAAAAGTACCGCGTAAGTTTAGTTCACTATACACCTACCTGAAGCTTATGAGGCCTTTGTATTTTAGGTGGAGAAAATTCAGATAAAAATGTCATAAGGTAGTAGCTTTTGCATTAAGTTTGTTCCATTTTTTGAACGAGCCATTGACGCTTCATGTGTGGCCGTTTGTTTGCATCTGCTATGCGCAACATTTATCCCGGGTGCGGCAAACATGTTCGAATATTTAGAATAACACGCGTCAATGGCCGAAGATGAGGGGTTAACTGGCATCATATAAACGTTCCAAGATAAATGCGACTCGTTGCTTCAGGTCCTACTATTCTGTTCTAAGTACTCTGCATTCTGTAGTACTAGTCTTGGTGATTATAAGGTTCAAAAAATGTTTAGTGTTAGATGGTATCTTGAAGAAAAAAAATCGTCACGTTCCGCCTACCTGGAAGTCGACGTTATGCGAAGCATGCGGAGAGCAGGTGACCGTGCTACAATTTTTTTGTAGAGCGACACACCACGAAATTACAATAAATATATGTACAAATGTTGCACGCAAAAACATATGTTGAAGAGTTGCAGATGTTTATATAAGCAGTTGTGTTCACTGGCGCAACGATGCCAACTCGAACATGCGTATCAGCAACACCAGAGGCTGATATGAAGCGCCGATTCTCGCGAGTATGCTGGCCCAGGACACTGGTACATAAATAAACTTCATTCAGCGCATGACAACTAACCACTATTGACGTTAACCCGACGTGACGGCCGCATCAAAGGAGTACATATTTAATGATTATAAAATTGAGTAGACAGCACTGCAACCACTATAGACGTTGCACGAAGACTAGCGTCTATTTGAAAAGTAATTCCGAGGCCTGGGGTAGCTCTGTGGTAAAATACTTCATAGCCACGCAGAATACTTGGGTTCGATTCCAGCTGGAACCCTGAAATTTATTATTTGCATTCGTCTGGTTGACGTTACCGAGGTCGGGTATTTCTTAATGCTCGCACGCTATATTTGATCATGTGTGTTCTTGTCGTTCTTGAGTAGATACTAAGTATCAATCACCTGTGGCGCATACCAGCATACCAGCGGCACATACCCTTTCGTGGGTATGTGCCACTATTTGATGGGAAGTGTTTGACGATGTACGCGACGGTATTGCGACATTATTGATGTCTTGACGAGCGCGTGATATTTGTCGAACCATCTTGCTCTCCCTAGCTAATTTTGGTTCACGCCAAGTAGGGGGTGACCATGAGAGCACCGAAACGTAAGCGGCTAGATATATATATATATATATATATATATACGCTCAAGGTTTCCGAAGTTGGCTAAGAAATGCTTCGCATTAAAAAAAAACTTGTCAACACGGAGCCTTGCCAGCAGTGTTGCAGCTTCGGACGAGACAAGTCCTCTGGTTTTAACGTAGCCTCCAGCGACACACCGTCTGCAAGGCACTTGCTCTGTTCATAATCATCATAATCATCATCATCATCAGCTTGACTGCGCCCACTGCAGGTCAAAAACCTCTGAACCACGACAAGGGCCGCCAACCAACCCGGTCTTGTGCTTTTCATTACCACGTTGTACTTGCAAACTTTTTAATATCATCGGCCTCCTAGCTTCTTGCATCCGCTTCGTGCGTTTGCCTTCTCTGGGAATACTTTCAGTCACCCTGAGGGACCAACGGTTATCTTGTTGACATGCTACATGCCCGGCCCATCTCTATTTCTTCTTTTCTGATTTCAATTACGATATCCTTAACCCCGGTTTGTTCCCTGACCACTATACTCTGTTTTTGTCTTTCAAGGCTACACATATCATTTTCCTTTCCATCGCTCGCTTCGTTGTCCTCAATTTAAGCTGAACCCTTTTTGTAAGCCTCCAGGTTTCTGCTACGTAGGTAAGTACTGGCAAGATGCAGTTTTTATTTACCTCCCTCTTGAGGGTTAGCGGTAATCTGCCATTCATGATATAAGAATGCGCTCCGAGTTTGATCCACCTTATTCTTATTCGTCGAAGTATTGTACTCACATGGATCCGGCTCCGCGGTTACTACCTGTTTGTTCCAAGTAGCAGGCTAGAGCGAACTAGCTTAGGCCGACCTCTCTGCCTTCTAATAAATTCTCACTATATATTCCTGTAGAATTTCCAGCTTCTCGCCACCTATCGGATGTGCTGTTTTCTGCTGAAACTTTTGCACATTACTTTAGTTTCTCGCATATTTCCTTCGAGGCCTAGTTTACTGATTTTTTGTCTCCAGTTGTGTAATCATGACCTCTAATTCGTCCCCTAAGTTACTCTTTAAAGTAATGTCATCAGCGAGTTTCAGGTTAATAGATACTCGCTATTACATCTCACCCATAACTCTTCCCAATATAGGGCCCTGAAAATGTCTTGTAAACACGCAGTGAAGAGCATTGGAGAGATTGTTTTTCCCTGTCTTAAACCGTTCTTTGTTGGGATTCTATTGCTTTCTTTTTGGAGACCTATGGTGGCTGTAAGTCCACTGCAGATTTCTTCCAGTGCGAGTTCTTTGATGCCCTGAGTCTGTAGTGCCTGCATTTTTGCTGATGTCTCTACTGAGTCAAACGCCTTTTCTTAATGTGTGAAGGCTGTGTATAGTTGTTGGTTGCATTTCGCGCATTTCTCTATTACCTGATTGATAGTATAAATATGGTCCATTTTAGAATAGGTTGAGCAAAATTCTTCTTGGTCCTTTCGTTGATTGAACTCTAATGTCACCTGAATTCTATTAGCTATTACTTTTTTAAATAGTTTGTACTTAGTAAAGAACGGTCAGTAAGATAATCGACTTGTATAAGCTGATCAGGCGATAATTTTTTACGTTCTTGACGTTTCCTTTCTCATAGATTAGGATGATTTTGGCGTTTTTCCAAGATTCTAATACCCTTCCCGTCGAGAGACACATCGTATACAAGGTGGACAGTTTTTCTAATACAATTCCTCCGCAATGTTTCAGAAGATTTGTTGTTATTTCATCCTCACCAGTGGCTTTGCCTCTTTGCATTGACTTTCCCTACTTACCTTGTCGTTACTGGTAAATTGTCGAATTCCTCTGGGCTATTACTCTTTCTCCCGATATTACCCTGGTTGTTGTGACTTCTGTATGGCTCTCTGTAGAACTCCTCCGCCACCTCAAATATCCTATCAATATTCTTTAAGGCATTGCCTTCCTTGTTTCCTAATGCATACATCAGATTTTTGCCTATGCACAAATGTGCCTTCACAGCTTTTAGGCTTCGTCCGAATTCTACAGCCTGTTGAATTCTCTCTATGTTATACCTTCTTACGTCTGCTACCTTACGTTTATTGACTAACTTCGAAAGCTGCACTAGCTCTATTTCCTGGATTGCACTAGAGGCTGTAATGTTTTGTCATCTCTTAGTGGAAGTTTTTATCTTCTGAGATAGTTTGCCAGTGTCCTGTGTAGCAACAGTACCTTCAACTTTCAATGAACACTCTTTGAAGATACCGGTAAGATTATCGTTCATTGTGTGATCGCTAACGTCGGGTACCTCTTTAGTGCCTCGAATCTATTCTTAAGCGAAGCTGTGAATTCCTGTACTTTCGCTGTGACCACTAGTTCAATATTTGGTTTATTGCGAATCAATGTTTGTCTTCTCTCTTTTAAATCTAGGTGAATACGAGCAGTTATCATTTTATAGTCACTGCATCAGGTCTTCCCAACTACTTCTACATCCCGTAAAATGCCTGGGTCTGCACACAGAATGAAGTCTATTTTGTTTTAAGTTTCGCCATTAGGGTTTCGCCACGTCCACTTGCGGTTAGCCAATTTTCTGAAGGAGGTGGTCAAGATCCACGAAGTATGACGTTGTGCAAATTCTACTAACTCTCCTCTGGCATTCCTGGAGCCGATGTCATAACCTCCACTTCATGGTCTCCGGCATGTTTCTTGATTTCTTTGGCGTTAAATTCGCCCATCATTACATTATATTGCGGCTTTAATAATTGCTGATTCTACGTCTTCATAGAAGCGTTCAACTAAATATTCATCATGGCTTGGTGTAGGCGCGTAGGCCTGTACCCCTTCACCTTGTACATTTTGGCAAACCTAATTATGATACATTCCACCCTATCACTGGGGGTATAGTATTCCTCTATTTTGCCAGCGATATTCTTGTGTAAAGAAACCACACCCCTAGTTATTTTCTGTCAACTGGTCCACGGTAGCATAGAACATGTCCATACTTCAGCACTGTATAGGCCTCCGGTGTCCTCCTAACTTTGCTGAGCCTTATTATATCCCATTGAACTCCTCTTGTTCCTTGAATAGGACAGCTATATACTGGCTTCACTAATAGCGTTATAGTGCTTAAAAGGTAACCAAGTTCCCATTCCAATGGCAGCCTGTCCAGACCCAGAGATTCTTGGCATTCTCCGCTTCGTCGCAGGTCTTACCGCTGCCTTGGACGGTTGCTTCGCAACTGATGGTATTTGAGGTTCAAGGGTTACTTGCTGTATTCATGAGAGTTAGTGGTCAAGTACGGCGCCACCATGACAAATTACGCTGTGGTGAGGAAGTGTACTACTGGCAGGTGGTCGCCAAGTGAGGCCGCAGCCCAGACTTTCTCTTTTTCTTAAACAATATTTTATCGCAAGTTTCAAATAAATACACGATGGGTAAGAGCCCGGCTTCTGAATTTGAACCAAACTTAGTATTTAAATGTTAGGCTGCTGCACCATCTCTAAGTAGGGGGTTCCGTTGCACTTTCGTAGCACTGTAGAACATCACCTAACCACCTATCAGCTCTCAACTTCATCTGACTTGTAGCTGGCCTGACCTTCGTTTCTTAACTGTGTGAAAAGTAATTGTCTTTTAAAAAATGTCCCGGACCGGTTTCAAACTTCTGACTTTGCGAGCTTAGGCCCACTAAGAGCCCTAGATTACCCTTCTTCTCACATGTTTTTTATCACCTAACGTCTTCCTGTCTTGCTCAAATTAGACATTGTTGGTTTCAAAGCGTTCGCAATGTCAAAGTTTTGCTTTTAGAGAGGTCGCAGTTTTACTTTGACGTGTCTTGTCAACTGACGAGTTGAGCGCACATGGCAGTGTTTGCAGCAAAAAGAAAAGCGCGAACGTTTGCCTTGGATGTATTATTCCATGCACTCAGATGTATAATAGAGTAAAAAGCGTAATAAAGTAGTGTGTCGTGATTAACGGTAACGCTTACCTGTACAGAACAACCTAAGAAAGACCCGTTAAGGTGAATTGAACCGCCTATACTGTTTCCGAAGAATGTATGTAGCAATGTTGCATATTTGGTTGAATATATATTTAGTTATTTTCCCGTACTTCTATCGTGTTAAGGAGACGAAATAAGTAACTTCGATTGGTTTATAATCAATGGCCATTTTTCGAATATACGGCTGTTAACCATATTTTTAAGACGCAGCTATTTTATTATATAAGAACCCACTAAACGACAAAACAGCTTTATCAACAAAATTTGAGTAGCACAATTTTTTATGTTTGAGGCAGTGACTGCGCAACTTTTCAGGTGTGCTTATTACTGAAAAACGGCTCACACGATGAGTATGACGCCAAAGCCATGGTACCATATATGCACAAAGAGAAGCTGTGGATTAGCTATGATGACAAGCGCAGCGTGGCTTTGAAGGTGAGTTGTCTTTTCGAACAATGATTTTATCTCTAGTATGAGCACCCTAAAACCTTCCTTGTTTATGCGAAATAGGAGCTTCTCGCACTGGTGAAACAAGAGCGAGAGTCAATAAAGTAAAATTGACGTGTGGAGCGTCCTGTGCAACGTCACTGGTGATCGCACCTAGTAGCATACTATTAAGTAAAGTATAACCTAGTTACTCCAAGTGAAAGTGTCCACTGACACTGTGACTGCTCTGCCTGCGCAGAGCATTCAAATACAGTTAGAAAGGGTTTACGACGTTGATTTTTTGAACTTCTCAATGCGTGCTGTGATTGCATACTTCTTTCCAACCTTCTCATATAAGCATGAATATGACTTTCATTCCAAACGTTTCATCTGTAGGAAAAAGGAATTCCTCTTTTTGTCTCCGCACTCGCACTTGTCTGATTTAGATGACGGCTTGCTTGCTTGTGTTCTCTGTTGATCACAAGTACACCGCTAGTTCACCGTTCACCACTTCCATTTTCGGCAATTTTTATCACGCAATGACGCAAATATCATACCTGTTTATTTATTTACCTATGTATTATTGCCACACCTCTCATACTAGCTGGCCACATTGTTTGTTGTTGAAAATTCACGTAAATACGAGGGAATACCTCCTGCGTACCACCGACAAGACCCAACAATGTCACGTGCTTTGGTGTCCGTGGCTTCCCAAGGGATCCCACTGACCTCCTCTGAGCAGTGTAACTGACCCCTAGATCAGTCCTCCCATATTGGGGGAAATCATGTTTTAATCATCATAATCGCGAAACAAACATGCATGCGCAAGAAGAGCTTCACGAACATCGGTAAGTGTGCGATGAGAACTAAGATATTCAGACACGTGAGAAGTACAGAAAAAAAAACTCTGCCCTACAAAACCAGAATATCTGTAAGTTCAGCGCACTGATTGTGTTGTGTGCAGATTTCGGTGAAGCTGTGGTTATGTTTACTTAGGTCAGAGCAGTTAGTGTCTTAATCACTGGCACTATATGTTATCAAGTTGCGCAATAGATGGCGTTTGCGTATATGTCCTTGGGATCATTATAGCTAGATGGCGTTAGTGGTTTTCACAAAATATATGCGGAGGGATTGATGATAAGTGGGGCAAAGCGCCCGCCCGTCCGTGTGTCCATCCGACCAAGCATGCGCTCGTTCGCCTGTTCATTCATCCATATAAGCTCCTTTCTGTGTGTCGGTGCTTCGATGTGTTCGTCCGCGCGTCTATCATTCTGTCTGTCCGTCCATGCCTCCATTCAACCATGTGCCCGTCCGTCCATCCGTCTGTCCGTCAGGGCTTTCATTCGTCCATGTGTCTTCCATGTGTCCTTCGTCCATGTGTCTTCCATGCTACCGTCCGTGCTTCTATCCATTCGTCCCACCGTTGCTCCGTCCGTGCGTGCGTCTGTGCATTTTCCGATGCCAGGCAAAGAAACCTTAAAAATTGTCGCATACGTCGATTATATTTATATATGTTTCCGTAACTTGTCTAGCTATAGTACATTCATTGATTTTTCGCTCAGTATTCCGATCTTTCTGGTGCTTTTTTACACACCACCGAATGTAAGCCATTGCGCTTTGAGGGCTTCAGAGAACCATTGACAGAAGACGTCAAATATGTTCAAGCTGTTAAGATGTTAGGCATTTACTTTGAAAAAGGAGATGTCTCAAAAAGGGCCTGCGATGTCGTACTTAGGAGATTCACCGATATCATAGCAGCAGCGACTCATTTCAACCTGTCACTATCGGCAAAATCAATAGTCATCAAGACACAGGCATGCGCTTTTGCGTTTTACATAGCACACATTAGCCTTCTACCCCTTCGTGTAACAGAACGCCTCACCTTTATAGCGGCAAAGGTACAAAATAAATTTTTACAGCTTCTCACAAACCATGGAGACCTTGGTCTCCCAGACATGCCAACATTCGCGAGAGCGCTGGCTGCAAAACAACACAAAAGCTCTTCGATGACGACCACTACTCCGGGTACAGGCTTTTGACGTTCTCGAGCCGTACATTAGAAGGAACTTTCACGGCAAATCCGAACATTGGACCGCGAGCAGAAATCCCGCTCAGGATTTACAGAACTGCCAGTGGCTCAATACGAACAGTAGAAATAATAGGTTCGTGCAGGTTGGAAGATGTTTCATTACAGGAAAACAGCAAAATGGTCACAAGTAGCACACTGAGAAAAGGGGAATAAAAAGCATCCTGCCCGAAAACATGGAAACAATGACATCGCATTCGCGTACCTAACCAGGAGCGGAAGTTTGAGTGGTTGAGAAGATGGATGGCATTGCCTACGCGTGACCAGCCTGCACATTTGGGAGTCGTTCCAAATGACCACTGTCCCGATTGCGGCAGAAAATAGACGGCCCAACGTGCTCTGTTTCAGTGTTGAGTGGTGAAAGGCCTCTGCCTTATGGTACAACACCTCCTTGGCTTTCACACAGTGTGCTTCAGAACGTAGGCTGTTTGCAAGACTGGTCTTTACAGTGACCTTGTACGTACTGTGGAGGCGACACTTTTTAGCAGAAGTACTGCCCAAGCATCATAGAGGTGCCTATTCCGCACTCCAGAAAATACGGCTCTTTTTGTGGAATCGCCTATATTAGTAGCTGGAACCGCACGGCGAAGAGGCTTTCCTTTGACGAGGGCACACGCGTTTTGTCAGAGTATGGAGGAACAGCTGAAATTACCAGCTGTTCCATACTAGCCATGCGCTCACTCTAGTTCGCCGGCATACGTGGCAGTCTGTAAAATGTGAATAACTTAATTTATTTTACTTTTCCTTTGACTTTAACGTTTGGATACCCCGTGCGCAAATAAATTTTTGTGCTCATTTGTACAATGTATACAATGTCTTTACTTGTTTTCGATGTTTCGTTTGTGTATGTACAAGTTAAGTGTACCATAAACTATTCTTTCTCACTCTTATGTCTTTGTTCTCTCCCATAGTAGAGTACGGAGTACTCTGATCCGTTGAACACTTTGTCTAAACACATCAACTCGTTTGGCGTGCGAGGGAAACGCTCCCTCAAGGCGGCTGAGCAGAATGCTGTATCTAGAGGCGAAGCTCCTTGGGTCAGTCGTCACCTGTATGTAAGCATGTATGTTGTAACCACCTCAAAGCATATCCATGGAGTGAGCGATAATGAGTGTGGCGAAGCTTCGGAAGGTTTTAACTGCAAACCGTCAATCATGCGCTTGCCTCGTGTGTCCATCAACTGTCTGTCTGCTTGACTCACGGACGGACGCACAGGTGGACAGAAGCATGGACGCACAGATGGATGAACAGGCTGCCTGAATGAAAGCATGGCCGGCCGGACGAACACATGGGCGAACGCACGGATGGACGCATGGACGGACGGTAGCGAGAACGAACGAATCGAACGAAAGCACGGACGGACTGATGGACGCTTCGTCCAACTCATCATCATTCACTCCGTGAATATGCTGTGATTTTTTCTTATCATGTTCTGACGACGCCGTTGACGCGACATCTTCAATGACGAACATGTCTGACATGATTTGCCCTAGTGACACCCAAGCGTTAAAGAACCCCAGATGGTCGAAATTTTCGGAGCCCATCACTATGGCGTCTCTCATAATCATATGGTGGTTTTGGGACGTTAAACCCCACATATCAATAAATCAATCACCCGGGCCCGACGTGGGCACAATTTTTGTCGATGCAGCATCATCAAGTGTGAGTGGAAAGGATGGCTTTCAGCGCTACCGTACTAACTACCAAGTACTCTAAATTTTTAATCACTTTTTTTCAAACAACAACTTATATCTCCACGTTAGGAATGACTTTCTGGTACCAATAGTAGAGTAAAAAGTACTCTAAATCATTAAATGTTTGTAAACATACAAATTGGCGCTTCCCTTTTGTGTAAAGCCTACCGCTTTCTACGAAGAGTAAGCGTAGTACTGTAATTCGTCAAAAAAAATTTCTATACACATTTCGTTCTTCGGGGTGGCTCACTGCTCTCCCATTGTTGAGTACGAAGTACTCGACATTCTTCCGACTGCTTCCTTAAAACAAAATATAGTGAATCCTTTTCATAAAAACACATCAGTAGTTATGTGTATGTTTTCTTACGTTAATCAAGCTTCTATTGTTAACTTCATGTGGAAATAATACTTTTTGTGATGTACATTAGAGAAAATGATAATGAAGCTTCTGTTGTTAACATTATCTGGAAATAAAAATTTTGGCAATGCAATTTCGAGAAAATCTGAATGTATCTCTGAAAACTGGCTATCCGGTGATAAATCTTAGCGCTCCGAACCCTTGAACACACATTGTGAATATTGTGCACTTGATCTTAATCTTATCAGACTTTTGTTTGCTCTATGGGAAAATGACAGTTTTCATGCTCTACAATTGCGAAAATTTGAATCTATTCGTCAGCACTGATTTGTCACAAATAATTTTTGCTCTGAGCATAGCGTAAATAATTTTTTTCTTAACAGCGATTCCGTCACTCTCAAAAAAAGCTGTCTAATCAGCGTGTGCATCATTTAGAAACAGCGTACAGCTCTCTCTTAGTTGAGTACCTAGTAGAGTCATGCACGGGCGAAATTTGAGAGCCCAAGCTTGTTCCATGGGCCCACTAGATGCGCTGAAGGCTCGCCCAAGCCCGCCTTGTCCAGCCGAACGTTATGAAGGGTTCTCATAGAAACAAGATGTCGTTTTCCCATATTGTGACATTTCATTCAACATGTCAAACTCAAACATGGGCAAGCGACACATGACTGTCGACTATAGGAAAAGATTACAACTTGTGGTTTAAAAATCAAGTCATTCCTTCGCCGCAAAGGTGAAGCAATGAACACGATAGCAACAAATTGGAAGTTCAGGCGCAGAATGGAAAGCAGATCGAAACTGGCCCGCGTTTCGAACGCACAAATAAAGCACCAAACGTACTCACAGGTACAGCTGCACGCGAATAAGCGCCTCAGTTGTTATTTTCGCTGTGTCTAAAAGGCGCGCGCAATTCGCAAACGGAGACTCCAATGATTGCAGTGACCTTTGTGTGCCCGGTAACTACAACGAAATGGTTCCAGGTAAAGCCTGAGGCCTGCCAAGGCGTACGATCCCCCTCTCCTTACCGCGCGATAAGGGCACGCGAGGGAGCTGTCGCTTCCTTCTAAGAGGGGCAAAGTACGCGTGGGAGATCGCAGCACGTGCTCCGCGAGATGAGGTGACGGGCGCTCATTGCGCCATCTCGCTGGTAAGGCTGAAAACACGATAACCCGCCCCCCCCCCCCCCCTAGTTACCTGTAAGCCGCGGCCACGGTAAGTGGTAGACATAAATAGCTTGAGGTTGGATGTTGAAGGACGTGCTTCTCGGTGGCTCAGTGGTTGACGCCTTGCACGGACGATTCGGAGTACCGAAGTTCGATTCCGCGCACCGAACTTTTTTTTCTGGGTTTTCTGCTTAATTAGATTTTAATACATATAGACACATATACAGTGAGGGACGGCGACGCCTATGTCGGCGCTGACGCCGGCACCAAAATCCAGCCAAGAGTGTCCATATAATCGCCATCGCAATAATAACGCGTCCAGTGATTCAGGCTTCATGGAAGTCCTGCTCTTCTGCGCCACATGCCTCGCCCAACTAAAGCGCCATTCACTGCTCGCACTGGCAGCCGTAATTTGCAAAAATGTTTGTCGGAAGCATAGTATGCTTCGAAGATTTAGACCGTTCGTTCTGCCTGCAGTTTAGGTACCTCAGATTTAGGACACGGGTATATTTATTATATAGATAAAGCATCCTGTGTGACTTCACCCTCTCAGATTGCTTTAAGGTGGCCAAAAGAAAGGAGAACCGATAAATGGGACGGAGGTGGGAGGGGGCTTGCTGCTCTCCCATTGAAGTACAGAAAGTTATGTAACAGCTGCATCTTCCCAGTACTCACCTATTGAAAGAAAAAATGGCAGCATATCCACGGAGTGAATGATGGAGAGTGGGGCGAAGCATCCGTCCGTCCATTCACTCTTGCTTCTGTCCGTCCATGCGTGCGCCTGTGTGGCCGCCCGTGCGTTCATCTGCCCGTCCGTGCGTGCATCTGTTCGTGCGTCCACACGTCCATCTGTGTGTCCGTCCCTGCGTTCGTCCATGCATCCGCTCTTGCATCCGTCCATGCGTCCATCCGTCCGTGCAGCCATTCGTGCGTCCTTTTATGTATCTATCTGTGTGTCTGTTTGTCCACCTATTCAACACTCCAAGTACTACCATCCACATCTTTTCATCATATATTCCTCATATAGAAGCACTTTCATCCAGTGGACATTCCAAGGACTCAACGAGAAGAGGCGTGCGGACACTTTCTTACGGCTTGCGCTTCGTGTCTACTTCCCACCTTTAACTAACTCGAGTTCACGGTATATACTAGTTCACTGTAATCATGGCACTGCGGACCAACGCTCGCTAAACCTTTCTAAAACCAAGGAGATTACACCCAGCGAGTATAACGTAGCAACCCTTTCTTGTCAGATAGTGCTCAATGTACGGGCCAATGGCTGCTAAGGGATAATGAGAGACAAGAGAATACGGCTTTTGGTTAACACGCACGCTGCAATTTTTTTTAATCAACAACGCACAGAAGATATCTTCCACCGGTATCATCTTTGAGGTCAAAATCTAAGACTGGTTACACACTAGGATTACTACGAGGGACGAACGGGTGCGGCTTTAAGGAGCTTCGCCCCTAAAAATCTTGAGGCCTTGAAAAAGGGCTCAGCATAAATTGAAGACGACGTACTCAGCAATGGAAAAAGAATTACGGGACCCTAAAGCTTCACATTTAGATGTTGAACGTGATAGCACATTTAGTTCCTAATGCGCATTTCAAACACTTAGTGCATGAAACTTTTTCGGACTTGCAATGCGCCCACTATACGTGACCTTTAGGGGAATTGGTGCAGTAGCATATGAACCTTTTTAGTGTAGTACCAGCTTTCAATCGAAGAGCCATTATGATAATCACATATTCTGGCGCCCATTGGCAGTGAACGCTTTTACCCCGAAATATTACTGCGATATTTCATGTTGCATATTGAAGCGTGAAAGCTACTTTCACTGCATTTTCAAGAGGAGGAAGTTCTTTTCACGGTTTTCACAAGCAGATGTATTGCCGTGTGGTAGAACATCCGCTTGCCACTCAAACAACCCGGGCTCAATCTTCACCCGGACCTAAACAACCCTCAATCGGACCCAACACTGCTTCAGGGTTTTTTATCCTATATTCGATTTACTTGCACCGTTCTTGATTTTTCGGTCACGCGTAAGATGATGATATTTCGCTTATAACCACAGAAATCAACGTCAACACCAGAATTTCTGCGAAACGAGCTTTCTAACGCTATCGCACTATCGAGTTAAAAAGATTCCATGGGTGTAGCCTTAAGAGACAAGCATAGTGCAGAGTAAGTCCGGAAAGAAACAGGAGTTAAGGATATCATAGTTGAAACCAAGAAGAACAAACGAACATAGGCCAGGCGCGTAGTGCGTAGGTAGGATAACCGCTGGTCATTAAGGGTAACTGACTGGATTTTCAGAGAAGGCAAACGCACGAAGGGGTGACAGTTAGGTGTGGCGCAGAGAATAAAATTTTCACAGACATAACGTAGCAGCAGAAAGCACAAAATCAGGTTGATTGGTGGATTATGGGAGGGTCCTTTGTTTTGCACCAAGCGGAGTTAGGCTGATTATGAAATGAGTAGGGTACGCCGTGCTGTAGATTTTCGGACATTTGTCGTAAAGGAAGAAAACTCCAATCTTCGTTCAATTTATTACAGACACTAGCAAATGTTTGCATGGTTTTAGTGTGTGAGGACAAAAGAATGCGCGTGCACATTGAGATGCGGCTTCGCAAGCGATAAACAAATTGGTTGCTTGAACTGACATTGCTTGTCTGCATGGAAAAAAGATATTAATATTCCTTGGTGGAAAATTATGACACCTTGAAGCATGGAAATATTATGTCATTTGAAAATTGAGTTCGACCGGTGTCCTTGGGTTTAGACAAGCATGGCATTACTGAGGCAGCACAAAAGATCAGAAATTTGTAGAAAACAAGTGATATTTCAGAACAGACAAAACAAACCTGAGTGGCGTGCTCCAAAATTATGAATGGCACCTTTCAAGATTTTGTATGACGTCTAAGATTGCTAAAGAGTCAATTGGAAGAATAGGTGCTGCCTGACGATGTACAGACATTGATGCCAAGTGCGCGGCATTCAACATTACAGCTTGTTTCACAAGAAAATTGCGCACGCATGTGTTTAGAAATGGTGGTTACAATTTGAGTACTTAGCACGCTTCTATGGGTAAGCATAAAGCCGTCCCGTCAGCCTCACTCTTGTGGCCTTGGCCCCAGTTCAGCTAACCTAAAGATAAGCTATGTGGGAACTGTGCCATTAGGCAACCTACACGCTTAAATAAGTGATTTTATATTCATTAGAGTTTTCGACTTGTTTACACAATAGAGGCATGACATGTTTACACGATAAATCGTAGACAGTAAGGCAGAACTGGAAAGAAAGTATTCATGCTAAGAATACTACAAATATTCGTCTTCAGATGACATCTTTTCTGTATAGTAATAATTCATTACAACACTCAAACGTCCTTTCAAATATTACATTTTGTTTAGAATGGACTGTGCCTCTTAGCCATACACTGCTTCAGGGCCCCATGCCTGACTTACAACGGAGATGAATAAACAGTGGTCCTCCAATGCATGTTACACGAAGTATACATGACCGCAAAAGAGAACCCAAATGGCAGTGACCTGCTCTCATACTCAATCTCCATTCTTTCTTTCTTCTCTTTTTAGTGCTCTGCTAGGGCACAGTGCTTTCTCGTCTGAAGTTGCGACTTTATATTGCAGAATATATATATATAAATTCTATCTACAAATGGTACTCTCAAATTTAAAAACTTCCTGCCGCCTGCCATCACATCTTAGCTTTAAAGGGCTTACCCACGTAGAGTGTATCTTGAGTATTTCACTAAAAATACTTTTCCTCAATTTCGTAGACGGAATGGATCTTCCTCAACGGATACGGAGGTACGATGACGTACAACTTGAACTTCGATGACTGGTCAGGAAAATGTACGAACGAAACGTTTCCACTCCAAAAGACCATATATCGCCACGGATACCTCAGACGTCAATATATCAGCAAAGCTGAAAAGTAAAGGCTTTTTTTTTTTTAGAGTGCCGACCTCTGACGTAAAATAGTGCCAATCTCTGAAGCATAGCCTTCAAACTATGCCTTGTCGTTATTCACTGCTACGATAGGTGACTCTTGTAAATGTAGGGGAGTCTGACATGCACAACATTTATTCCGCAATGGACGAGCTTAACAATGCTGAAGCTGTTAATAATTACGAAGACCAGTTGGACATTTCATCGGTCCGCACTAAGGCATAAATATATACTGAGCGCTGAGTGTTACACTACAAGAGAAACAATGTCTGTCATCACCTTTGTTTCTAGAAATCTCAGACCAATCTCTCCGCCATAATCAGCGTGCGCGAGTTGACTCTTGTCATTGCGAAGAAGCACATGCACCAAAAGACGTAATTTTTGTATTCAGAATGAAAACGGGCCTTCATTAAATACGCAAAAAATGATTCTTTGAATGCCATCACAATCGTTATCATTACCTTCCCTATGCCCACTACGGAACGAAGGCCTCTCCCAATGATCCCCAACACACACGGTGCTTCGCGATCTGATTCTATTTTTTGCTTGCAATCGTATTTTATTTTTTACTTTTCCGCTTTTCGCAACACTCAAACACTCTTCGAATATGCTCTCTATCTTTCCATGTCCATTCGGTCTCTATAACTAAACATCGATTAGCTGTAGTCATTATGTGGCCAGCAGGGCCCTTTATTTTTAAGGACCGCTAAATAGACTCCAATTCTTTTCTTTATTTTTGCATACCAAGAACAGTCAAACCTAAAAGTAATAAACGCCGTGGCGATTATATTTATTGAACATCACAACGCAACGAACCAAATTTTTACATGGATAAAAAAACGTGATTGATCGTTGATGTTCCTATCAGAGGAATCAGGAACAAGAATGGGAACCTACTCCTACACATAATGCAGGGCTGCAAAAAAAAAAAACGCGAAAGAAAGCAAAGCAGACAGGGCGGGTGCTCTTCTTTGTGCGTATTTTTTTTTTACGCCACCGAGCGTTATGACCTTCGAGAATGCACGAAATAGCCCGAACAAAAGCTTCGGTGAACCATGTCTTCGAAGAGGTAAGTGATTTTCTACGGCACACTGATCTATCAAAATTTTCACAATGTGCATCGCAGTTCGACACCTATAGCTCCATTTGAATCAGTACACATTAACACCTGGTGGTACTTCTCCAGACTGACATCTACGAATTATTAGGATTAAACCTTCGCGACACCAGAAGCATTCACCATATATCTGTCCGCACAGCATACAATAGTTTTCGCACAGACAGACGCGGTAAATACCACGTAGCTGTCACGCGCATCGAGTATTTCAAGTATTTGTTTACCTCGTGAGTGCCTGAATTTCTGCAAGTTCACGCTTTTTTACCGCACCACGTGCAGTTAGCCGACATGAGAAACACATGTAAAAAGTCTTTCTCAATCGTCTACTACGCGACCACGATGCAAATACCTCACGTCATGTGCCTTTCCAGAGCGGGCGTAGTGACAACATAGGGCGACGTCTGCGCCTTTTGGCGGCACACAAGCATCATGAGTACGATGCGAAACTGAAACCAGCATTTTCACATCGTACAAGTGCACGTTACTTTTTGACAACTTTCCGACCATGGTGTTCTTCATGATGATATGCGTGGTTTACCACCCAAAAACCAACAAATGGTTATGGTTAACGCTCTTTATTAGCTATCATGAGGTGTCGTGAACCACACTTTACAGCTGGTCAGAGAACACATAAAGTGCAAAGCAGACGCGGCTCTGAAGAGCTGAGCCAGATACTGCTCGCTTGCGTGTCAAGGTGAGTTCACAACGGAGCCGGCGATTGCTGCTTCTTCAACCGTTCTCCCGTGGATGACTGTGTGGCTAAAGTTACATAGAACAAACTTTAGCCCGCACGAGAGTGACACCAGGGGAGAGGTAAGGCATTTCATCCGGTGCCCTAAAAGTAAAGGTGCGGACATCGTTTTGCTTTTTTCACGGTTGTCCACCCTCCCTGAGTAGCTTTTAGCTTTGTAGTTCGGCATAAAAAAGAAAAGGAGCTCAACTGACGGTAATTTTGAGCGCAAAAACATACACATTCACAATAACGAAAAGATAGCACGAACGCTTGAAGGGCTTAAAGCGTGCTGAAATGCCCATAACTCAGCGCGTACTTGACTGGTCCCAAATTATTTTTTTGTGATGGAGTTATGGATGTGTGAGGAAATTACATCTGGTATTAAGGTCAATTTGTAATATAAATCCTATAGGCATGTTTCAATGTGTATTTACAGGTAGATATAAGAGGAAGCGCTCCCCTGCCAAATCAAAGGATTGTAAACTCACGAAGCTGTTGCGTAATATATTTATTCTACAATACACCCGTCTTTATTTTTAGTTGTACGGAATTTAACAGTTTCCATTCAATCACCTAGGAAAGTGTTACGGAAACCCTTGATATCAATTAGGATGTCGGCTCGCCCTGATTATTTTGTACTACACTGTGCTGTCTTCTTTTATGACTTATCTTAGGTCTAGTTGGTTTTCTACGACTGTGACGAGTATCAGTGCACCACAAAAAAAAATTAATTACTACGCGCACAGACGGAGAGATGGGCTTAAGCGCTAAACTTAAACACATTTGTGTAAACTCGCCTTCAACTTAGCGTATGGAAGCGAGATGATGCACCTTGGATTACGAACACGTTCATGGCAGTATAGCTGTGTTTTGATACGTATAAAATATCCAGTTTTAAGTAACTTAGAATGCTGGGTGGGTTCGTACATATTCATGTCATAGCGTACCGCGAGAGGAACGGGACAAAGTAACGCATGGGTGCTGACTAAAAACTAAATATTAGAGGAAAGTACATGAAATGAACACGACTGAGCTTAGCGCACAGCACCTGTCCCTTCGTGTGATGCATGATTCACTTTTTTTTTTGTGTCATTATAATATATGCTGCACTTAGCTCGTATTGTGCTGCTTAGATATTATATGGACCTTAAAAATACACATCTTTTCTCGCTACCTTTTCCCGCAAGATGGTATAAAAAAAGTGCAGCTTATCACTATTCTTTCAAGAACAGACAAACTTCCATGGTTTTTACTTCCCTTCGCAATATTCTTCATTGTAGACAATGTGTTTTTCAGGTCTACAAAGTAGGTCAAATACGAAGTGGCACAGCTCGGTGACCTGATCGATTTGTTGGCTCCAGACTTCACAAGCTTGCAGATATGAAAAGAGAAAGCATGTTTTGAAACACCGCATTGACACCAGTTGCACGTGATCACAGTCCTGCATACTACAACTGACAGGTGCATTTTCCATATGTCTCCGCATTCATTTGTTAAACAATAGGCAGATTTGTTATTCTATTAGTGTTTAAATCTCACCGTTGTTCCGATGTGGAAGTCTGAGGATATCACAGTGTCCAAGCGGATCCACGAAAACGACACCGTACTTGAAGGTGAAAGATTTGTCTGAAAAGCAACCAAGAAAACACTGATAGCTGCGAGCTATAATCACGAAAGCACTGCTGTCAGCGTAAAATATTCCTTGAGCTGAGCAACAATTGTACCAGCTCATGTGAGAGCATTGGTATTATTCTCTGGTATTGTGTGAGCGGGCGTGCGTGATTAGTGTGTGTGCGCGCGCACGTGCGCGTGTGCATGGTTTGGTGTGTGTATGTGTGTGCTGGAATGATTCATATATACCGCTCACCAAGCATGCTCTGTGTTTTGTCTTGAAGAAGTTCATGCCTACTTGAACTCAGTTGCATGTTGATAAAAACAGAGAGCACTCTTTATTGCAAGAAAATTCAGCCGGCATGCTGAAATCGCTGTCTTGCTACTTTGCGTAGAAAACGGGCTGGGTTATTTGGGGCTATAGCAACAGAAAGAAAAAAAAGTCATGATGTTCAGATAGAATGAAAATAAGAAAAAAATAAACAGGCTCAGTGTTTTGTCTATTAGGTGAAGACACGTGTTGATAGTCTCGTATGACGTGCTTTCAAAGTACAGCTGTAATTACCCGAGTTGACAAATACTGTTCAAATACGTGAATAAAAGCTTCAGCACACACCTCTCTCACGTAAGACAGGCTAAAACATCCAATACACTGCCGAAGCACAGGGTTCTATTGGTTATAAAATGTACGCAATGCTAATAGATAGCACACTCATCAGCATTCACTCGGCCCCTAAATAAGATTTGTTCAACAATTTTGAGGAGCGACCGATGTTGCACTACAGACTTGCTGCTTGACCGAATAAGTATTGTAAGCGGTTTATACAGGGAGCGTCGACGCGAAGGCAATGGTACAGTGTTTCCAGATGTCGAGGAATTTTATTGAAAGTCCATGAAGATGTGTCGCAAGGTTCCAGAGCCTATTTGTTTCCTGAAACGCAATACTTTTACCCATATGAGAAGCATCAAAATTAGTGAAATAAGACTACCTGTAATTATGGTGCTGAAGACCTTTGCTTGCTGCTTGAGCTGCTTTTTCATTAGCCAGACTGTTACAATGAGCCGGTATTCATTGAAATGTGATGCGGTTTAACGTAGTATTAGCCAGATCGGGTAAGTATAATGTTTCAATTGAAAACAGGCGGATATTTGTTTCCTTTACAAGGTTGAACAATGTGTACAAGTTGAGCATCTTTCCTTCTAATTCTGGGTCCCTTTATATCACAGCAAACGCTCTGATAAGATCACAGCATTGTTCGCGTGTGGTGCCTAGTCTAGTTGTCCATCGCCGTCGCCGCCGGTGTCAGTAAGCATTAGCGCACGAAATAAGAAAAAAAAAAAACAAATTAATTTTAAAAACAATACCAACACAGCGGGATTCGCACGTGGGTACCCTGCCTGCCAGCCCAATACTCTACCACAGAGCTTACGCTGGTGCTTGAAACTCCGTTGTAAACTTGCCTTAGGCAGGCTTGATGTCAGGAAGGGAGTCGCGTTGTTATTAGTAACAAAGCGTTTTAGAACAGCAAAGAACAACCAGGCGCAACATAATGCGAAATGCGTAACGCATGAGTCATTTAATGTTCCAACCAATCACGAAAGCTTGTTTTCAAACGGCAATTAACTGTGGCGCATACCCACTTCATGCACAATCATTCATCGTCGTCAGCCACTGCATAAAAAATTACGAAACTCCTTGCAAGTCTGTAGTCGATACCATGCTTTCCCAATGAATTACTAAGGATAGCATAGTGAATGGTTACATGAAATTATTGAATTACATGAAATTAGTATGGGTTAAAGGTTACTGTGGGTTAACTCTAAATAAAATGGCCGACGCCTTAGTCCCCTCTGCACTATGTCTCCCAATTTTTCAAGTTCTCTTGGGGGTAGAATACCTCACCGCGATCAGGTATAGAAGCTGAGCTATTTACACAGATACCATGAAAGAATTAACCACGTGGATGGAACAGAATCACCTAAACTATCCGTGGAATGTCGTAGTGGAGCCAATCTTGAAAATCACAAGTGATTATCACCAGATTTTGATGCCGTATCACCTTTATTAAACTTTTACTTGTACAAGGCTGGTTTGACGATATCACATCTCTGCCTATTCTGCGGAGAACTGGAAAACATTGCACATTACGTTTTGTCATGCTCAAAGTATTCTCGTAATATAACTTGACTTTCCATTGCTCCTCTTGGAAAAATAGGCTCGAGCTTATAGGAGAAAAATGTTTTAAGCTTCGATGCCTCAGGCTTCGCGCACTGCTACCGGAATGTCTTTGGTGCTGTGTGTAATTTCATTATATTACTCAACGAGTACCATTTTAATCATGGTATTTAAAATTTTTCGTCATTTCAATAAGATCAAGCCTAACTGAATTTTCAAAATTGCTTTCATCAGGTTATTAGGTTAGTCTTAAACACAAGTTCAAAACATAAATTTGTAGTTTAAGGTGAATGATTTCGTAATATTGCTATTTTATTTCTTTATTTCTGGTTTTTATTCACATATCCTTCCTAAAATAACATTTTAAAGTCTCACCACCAAATGCTAGACCAATATCGCCAAGTGGGTTGGTACAATTTATCGAAGAAAACAGAGAAAAAGTGCCAGCCTACATTACAAAAATTATGCTGATTTATGGCACAGTGGGTACACGAAAAGTGTGCTTGTATCAGTTACCCGAAAAGTGTTTTAAGAAGCTCTGAAAGGCCACTTTTTCAGCTTTCGCTGTGACTGTACCATGAATTCCGCGTCGGCCTGGCCGTTTTTTTCAGTGGTAATAATGAGAACTAACAGACAACGCCACCACGCATTGTGATAATCGACGTAATGCGAAACAGCCAGAAAGGAGCAAAACATACTGTACATGACATGCATGTCAGATTTACATGTTACTGACAGTTATTCATGTTCGTCATGCAATCACTTTACACAATAGCGATTTTTTTATATCCACTCGCGAACACGACGCAACTCCACAAAAAGTGTGGCATGCAAATCATTTTGTAGATGACATGCATGCCAAGTTTTTCACCTCACCACCTTCCATTTATATTCATCACAAAGTCCCGCCATGTTATTACATATTTGACGCATATCGAAGCAGGAGAAACAGTCACGGACGTGCCATGTACGTGACATGCAAGTCATTTCACTCACGACTTGTCATAATTTCTATATTCCCACAAGTAACCTATGTTCCTCATATAGGTCCAAGTCCTGCAATACCAAATGGAGTGTATAACAAGCTAGGGCAATGGCCCTCAGAGCACCATGACCGTTGCGTGTACAACATGTTGTACATGACTTGCACGTCATTATTTTTCGTATTACCACCGGTGATTCATGGTGGCCATGCAAAACATATCATCATACCAGTTTTTGGATATACCAAGCTACAAAAATGACCACAACACCATCATGACTATGGTGTGTAAACCATACCGTTCACGACACGATAGTCATGACTTTCACGTTATGAACAGTCAATGATGTTTGCCATACAGTCATATTACGGCATATCAATTTCGATATGAATTTCTATAAAATACGGTATTGAGAGCAGAAAGCCATAAGCATCTAAACAGATAGATCTGCTAAAAGTTGGTGAAGTTCGCTAGCAAATGATTCGAATTTAATACCTTGCAGCCGGCTGGGACCAAATCTGCGATGATTGAATAACGCGTGAGATGGTCTGCCCTGAGCTACCGTGGTACTCATCCCTTCATTCACTTTAGAGTTCCTTTTCCTAGCAAAGACATAAAAAGTCCTTGAAATCACACTTCTTCGCTTTTCTTGTATAGGTTTTCTTCCGTGGACAATTGTGCGCTCAGCACATTACAAATGTCGCACCAACTTACCCAACGATTCAATTTTCTACAACACTTCAACATGCCCTGCCAATTTACAGCGACTGTTCTCGTGCTGTCGTTACTGGTGATGTTGCGATACTAATGTTATTGTTGATATGACTTCCACGAGATTACTTACGCTTCGTGAGCAAGCCACATCATCTTTAGAAAAATGTTTTCGTTACCATGTGTTTTCTGAGAGATAAAGTATCTGGCAACATTTTAGAACACGATGCGTTGGAAGCATACATTGAAATGTAGTTCTACTATAATAGTGTGAATGCATAAAGGTGAGACCAACCTGTAACTCACACTCGAAGAGACGTTTGAGGGTAATTACATTAGAATGGGCATGAACAATTCCTCTCACTTGGCGTCAAAAACATTTTGAAATGGGTCAGACGCCTTCCATAAACACGTAAGCCAAAGAGTATTTGAATACTCAAATACACCTGGCGATACTGCGATGGCAGCATTTTCCTAACACATTTTAACTCAACCAGCTTCATTTGGCAAGAGAAAGCAGCTGTTGGCGGCGCCCCGCCCAGTGTATTACGTAACCTCCCTTCAATGATGTGCAGTTCCCTATCCGTGTAACATGGCGGGGCTGACGGTGGTTGCTGGCAACTCACTCATAGTTCCCTTTAGCTGCTTCTAGCTGCACTGTAGGTGCTGTGGTTCTGTGGTCTGGTTTGATGTCTCCACTCCGGTGTACCAGATGGCGCCTTGAGCCCGCGTGAATGAAGTAACCGCAAGCCGTCGTTTTGTTCCGGATGCAAGCACGCGACCACTCGTTTGCTCTTGCCGGGCCAATGTTTCTTTTGTCCAGTGTAATACAATGCTGGCCTAATGCGCTCTAAACTGCTTAAGCTGGGTAGGAAGGTCATCAAATAGGGTGTTTCACAAGGAGCTACCCCGAAATCGTATCAAGTATTGCTAGTTTTAATACAAGATCAGCAGTGAGGTACGAATCAGAATCGCCAGCATTTTTGTTAGCTACTCTACGATATATACTCCAAGGGCTAACTTAGCCTAATTATTCACTATCACCATATCTTGAAAATAGAGCTGGCTACACTGCAGGCTTTCTGCGTCTGATTCGGTAGCGATGGATTCACTGTGCGACGTGCCCGAAAGTGTAGCATCTACTG